AAACGAGGCAGAAAAGTCAAAAGAAAAGTTCAAACAAGGGGGGAAATAAGTGTTAATGTTGGAAAAGAGTCCGAAAAGCAGAAGCAGAATAATTTTCTACTTTTTTTAGGCTAAAACCCAAATAAACAGAAGGTGCGCAGTGCCACTAGAGTTTCTCTATTTTTGTCCTGATTCGACCGTATCAGGATAAAAACGAGGCAAAAAAGTTAAAACAATAAATGTTAATGTTGGAAAAGAGTCCACCGAAAGGCAGAAGCAGAATAATTTTCTACTTTTTTCACTAAAACCCTGCCCCCTGCAGGCTGGGAGCAGAAGCACAGCGGTAAACAAAAAACCCAAAAGCACCGAGTCAGCAAAAAAAAAAAAACACCAAAAAATCTAATATATTCACTCAAAATATCACATTTAACGTGTTTTATCATCAAACTGGACTCTAGAGTTTCTTTATTTTTGTCCTGATTCGACCGTATCAGGATAAAAACGAGGCAGAAAAGTCAAAGGAAAAGTTCAAACATTAAGTGTTCTGATCTAATCTAATTTATTGTGTTTTATCATCAAACTGGACCCTAAAGTTTCTTTATTTTTGTCCTGATTCGACCGTATCAGGATAAAAACGAGGCAGAAAAGTCAAAAGAAAAGTTCAAACAAGGGGGGAAATAAGTGTTAATGTTGGAAAAGAGTCCACCGAAAAGCAGAAGCAGAATAATTTTCTCCTTTTTTTAGGCTAAAACCCAAATAAACAGAAGGTGCGCAGTCAATATGGACGTTATGATCAGAAAGAGTGAAAAAAACCCTGCCCCCTGCAGGCTGGGAGCAGAAGCACAGCCGTAAACAAAAAAAACCCAAAGCACCGAGTCAGCAAAAAAAAACACCAAAAAATCTAATATATCGGCCTAAAATATCACATTTAATGTGTTTTATCATCAAAATGGAATCTAGATTTTCTCCATTTTTATCCTGATTCGACCGTATCAGGATAAAAACGAGGCAGAAAAGTCAAAAGAAAAGTTCAAACAATAAGTGTTCTAATCTAATCCAATTTATTGTGTTTTATCATCAAAAGGGTCTCTAGAGTATATTTATTTTTATCCTGATTCGACCAAATCTGGACAAAAACGAGGCAGAAAAGTCAAAAGAAAAGTTCAAACAAGGGGGGAAAATAAGTGTTAATGTTGGAAAAGAGTCCGAAAGGCAGAAGCAGAATCATTTTCTACTTTTTTCACTAAAACCCAAACAGAGAGAAGGTACACAGTCAATAGGAGCTTTCTAATCAGAAAAAGAGTGAAAATAAATGACAGTTTCTGCTTTTTTCCCTTCAAAATCTGCTCTAATTTTCTCTAAATGAGCAGAAGTTTCCCCAATAAGTGGAAGATCAGTTTTAATGTTGGAAATGAGTCCATAGAAGGGCACAAGCTTAAAATGTCTATCATTTTCTCCTTTTTTGGCTAAAACCCGAACAGAGAGAAGGTGCACAGTCAATGGAAGCGTTTTGATGGGACAAAATAGTGAAAAGAAAATCAGTTTCTGCTTCTATTCCCCTACAAATTCTGGTCCTATTTTCTCTAAATGAGCAGAAGTTTCCCCAACAAGTGGGAGATAAGTTTTAATGTTGGAAATGAGTTAATCGAAAGGCAGAAGCTTAAAATGTTGACAATTTTCTCCTTTTTTTAGGCTAAAACTCAGAGAGAAGGTGCACAGTCAATAGAAGCGTTTTGATTAGAAAGAGTCAAAATATATCACTGTTTCTGCTTTTTTCCCTTCAAAATGACCTGTAATTTTCTCTAAATGAGCAGAAGTTTCCCCAATAAGTGGAAGATAAGTTTTAATGTTGGAAATGAGTCCATCGAAGGGCAGAAGCTTAAAATGTCGATCATTTTCTCCTTTTTTAGGCTAAAATCCCAAACAAACAGAAGGTGCATAGTCTATAGGAGCATTTTGATTACAAAAATAGTGCAAATATTCACAATTTCTGATTTTTTCCCTTAAAAATTAGCTCTACTTTTCTCTAAATGAGCAGAAGTTTCCCCAAGAAGTGGGAAATAAGTTTTAATGTTGGAAAAGAGTCCACAGAAGGGCAGAAGCTTAAAATGTTGATCATTTTCTCCTTTTTTTAGGGCTAAAAACCAAACAGAAAAATGATGCACAGTCAATATGAGTTCTCTAATCAGAAAAAGAATGAAAATAAATCTCAGTTTCCGCTTTTTTTCCCCTACATAATCAGCTCCAATTTTATCTAAACGAGCAGAAGAAGTTTCCCCAAGAAGTGGGAAATAAATGTCAATGTTGGAAAAGAGTCCACCGAAGGGCAGAAGCTTAAAATGTTGACAATTTTCTCATTTTTTTAAGGCTAAAACTCAGACAGAAGGTGCATAGTCTATAGGAGCATTTTGATTAGAAAAAGAGTGAAAATATTCACAATTTCTGATTTTTTCCCTTAAAAATTAGCTGTAAATTTCTCTAAATGAGCAGAAGTTTCC